TGTGTGTGTGTGTGTGTGTGTGTGTGTGTGTGTGTGTGAGTCCTATCCCTGCGTATATAGTTGCCCTGCGTCGATAGTCGAACCATGTAGCTGCTATGTTGCTGTGTCTACAGGTGCACCCATGTCTATAGTTAGTTCGGCAAAGTGCATGGCTATGGCACACCTGTACACTGTCTGATATAGCATCTGCAGGGTACTATAGCTGTGTGCTATTCTTCGTTCTGCAACCTATAAACCGTTTTATTCTTCAGTTAGCCACTTTTGCCGTCTGAAAGACTTCCTGTCAGCTACAGGGTCATGGATGTTTAGTATTTGTGCAACGGCTTGTCTTATGCAGCTGCCAACTTGCTGACATTACATCTCGTATTCTATCGGAGCCAATATCTGCAGGGGGTAAGCGTGATTTATTTTTTGTTATTTTTGTCAAGGGTGTAGCCCATAACAGTGCTGTATTTGTCTGATTCCATCAGCATTCGAGCACATGACCTGTTGATTGAACTTGATTCACAGTTACATATTGTGCATCACTCAGATAGACGAGCCAGGTGGAGTGTAGCCGTGCAATGCACGGCTTTTCCTATGTACAGACTTCTCATACGATTCTATTCAAGTAAGAAAATACCAAAATACTAAAATAGTAATAATACTAATAATTGTGATGACCCGTCGAAACATGGACTGAAACACACAGCTGATTTCTGAGTTTTGCCCATAGACTGAATGCCCTGCTGAGTTTCCCGCTTGCTACTAAGTCTGTGTGTGCACGCTTGCTGGACTGCATGTCTGTCTGAGTGCTGGTTGGCTTGAGTGTGTGTGTGGCCGTGCCTGTCTGAGTGCTGATTGGCTTGAGTGTGTGTGTGGCCATGCCTGTCTGAGTGCTGGTCGGCTTGAATGTGTGTGTGGCCCGCAAGGGCACTTGCTCGTTCATTGGGCCCTCAGGGCTGGTACTTACCTGTGGCCGTGACATTGAGGGATTGCAGCAGGAAAAACACTCAAGTAGCGGGTAGGCCGGTACCGCACCCTGAAGAGCTAGATGTGCGGGTACTGGAGGCCGAGCAGAAGAAGACAAAAGTGGCATTTTTAGAGGCCCAGTAGTTGTGGGTTAGGTCTAGGCGGATACCAGTCCAACCAGTCTGGGTCTAGGGCCTGTACGGGCAATATCAGAGTCTGCAATGATGTTTCCCTCCGAAACGGAGGAGGTACCGGTTGCTTGGAAGGCCGAGCGGCCTGGAAGTCACCGCCCGAAGAGGCAAGCAGGCCGCTATATCTCCCAGCCGGGCGAAGAGCCCGGCCTCTTTTTCGATGTGCAAGTTTGGCGACACACTGGTGGAGCACTGGCTGGAGCAGCGCTGCTGGGGAGGAAGGAGAAGGACATGAGGGAGGAAGAAGGAAGGAAGGGGGAGGAGCGCCAGGGTACTTACCTGGCTATGGTGGCAGCCATCTTCATCACCTTGGTGGGCGTTGCAGCAGGGAGTCCCCAACTGGGGAGAGCCACACCAAGAAGCTTCGAGGCAGGGTCAGGCATGGCGCCTGAGCTAGAGCAGCCATAGCTGCTTTGGGTTGTCCTTTGGGCATCTGGGCAAGGCCTAGTAGTCCGCCATAGCCTCGGCCTATGAGAGTGAAGAGGGGGAGAGGCGGCCATGGCTATGGTGGACCTCAAGTAATACCTGCAGTAGAAGAGGAACTCGGACATTGATTCTGGATCAGCCATTCGACATTGTACTATTATTTCTTGTATGAATAAGAGAGGGGGAGATAAGGAGGAGGAGATTGTGGGCGAAGAAGAAGAACCTTGACATTTGTCTATGCTGGTGTACATCATCTTCTTCTTCTTTCTTACTTCTTCTTCTTCTTCTTCTAATCCTCTCTCTCCTCTCAAGTTCATTCATTTCTTTCTGCAATTGGACGGCATTGTACTTTCTGATGGATGTGTATCTCGAAATTGGCCAGGATCATAACATAGTAGTTAAAAAAAAAAAAAAAAAAGACAATATCATAATAGAGAGGGAAAAAGTTTCTCACGACTGTTCTGATTCTATCCTGAGGATTCCTGACTGATTAAAAAAATAAAAAAAATAAAAATAAAATAAAAATAAAATAAAAACTTCTAGAAGTGGTAGTAGCAATAAGGTCATGAATATTGCTTATGTGTGTGATGGCTTGTTTTACACGACTGCTACCTTGTCGACGTTGCGTCTACTTTCTTTGCCAGTATCCCTAGGTGACTGAGCAAAGTAAAAGTAACGATGGGCGTGAAGAAAGAGGGAAAAGGGGGGTGGGGAGGGGGCAGGGCTGGGGGGGGAAAGAGATTGGGATTTGGAGAAGGTAGGAGGGAGGTGGGGGGCATATAGAAGGGGGGTAGGGAGTTCGCTGTCTATTTTGGGGAGGCAAAGAAAGAAAGTGTCATCATTGCCGTTTTTTTTTTTGTTTTTTTTTTTTCTAGTACCTGAACAATTTTGCATTGGGATCTGGTTAGCTCACCAGGATTGCACTGAGGAGAGGAATGAGGATTACAGGAAAATCTCCTCTGGAATATTTTTCCCTGAGAGGCTGGCTGGGACGATGAAGCGACCAGGAGCACATCTTCCTTTCGAGGCCAACTTGAACTCTTTTCTCCATCCTGCAAACATGGTGGTGGCCGATTGCTGGATGCTATGTTGCGTCGGGGATCGAGCTGGCGATCAGTCTATGCCTGCGATTGAGGAGGAAGGCAAAGCACGGCCACCTCGGGTTCCAACCCATGGTTGGGGAGAGGCTCCGAAGACATCGTCGTCCTCTGTTAAAAGAACGCCAAAGAGGGCAGCAACGGGAACAACAGCTGCAACGGCGTCCTATTTTGGTTCAAGGTCTTTATCAGCACCTACCGGTCCCGGCACTGAAGAGGAGTTTTATGATCTGGTTATATGGAGTGGAGATCTCAACTACAGGGTCGAAGGAAACCGCCAATCAGCGGATGTTGTCATTCAAAAGCGCATGATAGAGGTGTGGTGAACCTCCCTATCTTTCAAATGCCCCTTCTGGTCCCTCATATGTCCCTTCTGGTCCCCATATGTCCCTTCAAAAAATGTGCCTCCTGTCCCTTCGAAAAATGTCCCTTCTGGTCCCCATATGTCCCTTCAAAAAATGTCCCTTCAAAAAGTGTCCTTTCTGGTCCCCATATGACCCTTCAAAAAATTACCCTTCTGGTTCCCATATGTCCCCTCAAAAATGTCCCCTCTGGTCCCCATATCTACCCTTAAAAAAATGTCCCTTCTGGTCCCCATATGTCTCTTCAAAAAGTGTCCCTTCCCCATATGTCCCTTCAAAAAATGTCCCTTCTGGTCCCCATATGTCCCCTCAAAAATGCCCCTTGTGGTCCCCATGTGTCCCGTCAGAGAAAGTCCCTTCTGATCCCCATATGTCCCTTCTGGCGGTCCCCTCTTGTTGTGTATAAACTATTAACTTGTGTATCTTTTTCACATGCCCCAACTCATAGGCTCTCCATATATCCCTTTGGGTCCCCATGGGTCACTTCTGGGGGTGGCCTTTTGTTGTATATGAGCTTGGTCTAATGAACCTTTGGTCTAATGAGCCTTTGGCATAATGAACCTAATCTCAGAGGCACAGAAAGAAGATCAACACCATGCAGAAATCTCACGATGATCAATGATGGGCAATCGCAAAGAGATCGCAAGTGAACCAGACTTCAGTCGAAGGAGGAGAAGAAGAAGAGGAGAATAGTTTCCAATAGTAGTGGATGAATACAATGTCTTGCCTCACCTTCTCCTTACTTCCTCCCGGCTCCCTCCCTCTCTTCTCGCGGACACACAACGGTCAACCTATCCCTCTACTGATGAACCAGCCAGTATGCCTCTCACCATCGCCTCACCAGTTTGAAAAGTCCCTCTCCAATGCAGTGTCAATCAGGCACGATGAAGAATAACACTGGTCCAGGCAATCCCGGCCTTTAGCAGCAAATCGCTTTCCCTCCAAACATGGCAATACCACCAGGTAAGCCTCTCTCTCTCTCTCTCTCTCTCTCTCTCTCTCTCTCTCTCTCTCTCTCTCT